CAGAATTGAAAACCATTGTCATAAGGTACTCTGCTCAGCTCGTACTTTTTCTCATACCACAAGCATACGAGCATCAACGACTTCAACAAAACACCTCCTGACTGGGGAAAAACTAAATCGCTTGCAGGCTCTGGAATTAAACTATTAATTAATATCTACAGGTCTCCAGACAAAATATTCAACTAAGGAGCCTCTGGATCCTATAAGAAACAAAATTAGGCACCAGATTATTATTTTTTTAGGTGCCACAGAATAAACATGTTTTATTTTATTTTTTTTAACACTAACATTTCAGTCATACTATGTTTTTATGTGCCATCTTTTCTTGTCTTTATCAGCATTTTAATCCACCGTGTAGATGTCCTGGGAACTAAGGTTCACTTAAAGTTGGAACTAAAAGTCTTTTCCAACTTGAGAACAATAGTCACAAAGAATTATTTATTACACAGAATCTGTGCCAATATCACAGACCATAACAATGTCAGCATCACTTGGCCTCCGAGTGTAGTTTGGGCTCCTCATCAATGCATCCTATAACTGTTGTATGTCTTGCACATATCCAGTCTGTTTTTCTTCATTAGTAGAAACATGCATTTATATAGGAGGAGTTGAATTTTATCTTTAGCTTTTGCATTCTCTTATCTTGTAAATATACGAATATGCAATATGGAGCATGAATTTAGCAAAATGGTCCTTTTTATAAATTCTTCTTGCTGACTGATGAACTTATGAACGCTGAATGTTATTCTGAGGTAAATGTATTGATACGTGGCATTGTTTACAAGCTTTACACGTTTTCCACAGTTTGAAATGCTGAATGAGCGATTACATGAGACATTTCAGTAAGTTGTACTGTAGGCTCTTTTATAAAATAGTCTACCTTTTGATGTTAATTCTTGTTCATTTTGCACTATAGTAGTAGTAGTATATTTTTATTTAATGGCATGTCAGCATCTTAGACTATTTTTATGGCAAAAACTTTCGTACTATAGTAGTAAAGAGAAAGATATGGGTTCATGTGCTACTCCTGCCGCATTAAGGAGCACCAAAACCGTATTTATTGTTTGAATTTCGTTATGAATTTGGCAACATTTTAAAGCTGATAGCCTAGGCTACTTTGTTTATTAAAAGCTAACAAAGCACAAAATGTACTGCGATTACTGGACAGCAAGTGTGCTACAAATAATATGAAGTTCACGCATTAACAGAACACAGCATACACTATAGAGCTTGATAACAAGAAGCCATAGTATCGATTATAAATGAAAAGTGTTAATGATATTGTTAATATCCCCACATCTGACAGCTTTACCTGTTGTAATTTGTGCAAGTTGTGCATAAAACAAACTTTTAGTTTGCACGTCTCCGTCATTTCGATCTCTGTCGCGCTGCACAACCTTAGCTGCGTTTAGCAGGTGTGCGTCAGCGCTGGCATTGGGCAGAGATGAGGACTGTTTGAAAGTTTTTTTTCCACTAAAACATTGATGCGCATCGTCTCAGTTTATTACGTCAACATAACAAAAGACGTGATCACAAAACAATCAGGAAAAAAGCATTACATGCAAATTTTTAAGTCATAACGTAAATGTATATAGTCGCCAGTGGCGACCTAAGCAAAAACTTCACTCGCAAATTAATATTTTTGGCGGCAAATGTGACCGTTGTAATCACAGTCTGGAGCCCTGTATCTAGCTATGAGTATCTGATTTGTGAAATCCAACCTTGTGGATTACCGGTCTCTCCTCCTGAGCTTTTAGTCGTGTGGGTCCAGGAAGGCTGCTTATATGTCTGGATACTGCTGCACAAATCTTTCAACCATGAGAAATGCAGTTCCAGCATGTCCTCACATCCAGGACAACAGAATGGTCAGGATAACCTGAAACATAACCAACTGAAATCAATTTAAATGTATTTAGTCTTGCCTGAGTGATGCTGAAACAGCCAGGTTTAATTTTTTTGGGGTCCTGTATCTTATATCAATGTTTCAGTACTGAACAAGTCAGGAACCAAATTAGTACCAGTTCTTGAAACCCATCTCTACTTGTAATCATGTAGTCCTGTTGCTGCTGCCCAGACTGTCTCCACCTGCTGATAAAAAAACAAGAAGAAAAGTATGCTAGTTTTACAGCTATGAAACTACAAACATTTAAACTACTGGGTGGTAACAGATGAGCATTTTTTCTTATAAGAAACTCAGTGAATCATTGACTCAGGTGGCAGTCAGGACCTAAAAAATGAATTTGTTCATTAAAGATTTGTTAAAACTAAAGTATCAGATCTATTTGTGAATGAAACGTCACTAGCATAAAAAGCACGCATGTAAAAAAAGACAATAGGGTATATGTCGAACGTCACGTGACCACACCGGAACCCTGGGTTACTCGCTTCCGCTTGCCGGTGTTGTGCTGAATTCTGCACCCCTGCCAGATTATGCACCCCCTCGTTGAAGTCACTACCTGATTGCCTAATCCCAACCCCACCCCTAATCCTAACCCCTCCCCCACACCTACTCCTAAACCTACCAATACTAGGGGGTGCATAATTTGGCAGGTTGCAAATTTCGGCACTACACCGGCAAGTACGTTAATGTGCTATCGTAGCTTGTTTGTAAGTTTGTTGTTGTTATTCGTATTATTATTATTATTTGCATGTTCTTTTTTATTTTAATATCTGAATGTTTTTGAGAAGAAAATGCCTTTGTCAAAAGCTATAAAGTATCAGAAAAAGGAAAATCCTAACAGTGATTTTTGCTGTGTACCTCAATGCGCGGTGTCTGGGCAGTTCAATTCAAGTGTACGTTTTCACCGCTTCCCAAAGGAAGAAACGTTAAGAAAAATATGGATTCGTGATATTCATATCAATGTGGTAATGACTTTGTTGCAGACTTGGACTGTTCACATTCATTCTTTAAATAACCTTATTATACACATTCATAAGGGGAACCCTATGAGCACAAGGCCATATTTAAGAATATAAATAAAAGTAAGATGAGACTTAAACAAAACACATATGCCTGGTTTCACAGACAATGTTTAGGCTAAGCCAGGATTAGGCCATTTAGTATATTTTTATAAACATTATTAGTGTGCATCTTGAGACAAAACAAAGGCACTGATATGTGTTAAAATCAGTCAGTGCAAGTTTCTTTTAGTAGAAATAATCTGGTATGCTTTGAAGGTAATAAATGTTTCTTTCAACGTTTTAGATTTGCCAGCTACCGCCATCTGCAAGCATTTTGGAGAATGATTGAACCTGCAACTAGGAGAATTGTGCGTGTTGGTACACGGACATCCACTTCCAACACAGCTGGAGCACCTGACAAGGCAGCTGATCCACCTCGTCGACCGGTAAGAATGGCTCGTACTACATCATTTGGTTGCTTTAAGTTGTCCATGTTACAGTGTAATTTATACAGTGAGTAATATTAATCAATAACACAGTGATGGGCAACTTCAGAGTTTAGCTCCAAACCTAATTAAAACACCTGCCTGTAGCTTTCTAGTGATCTTGAAGACATTGATTAGCTTTTTCATGTGTTTGATTAGGGTTGGCGCTAAATTCTGCATGACAGTGGCCCTTCCAGGACGGAAGTTGCCCAGCCCTGCAATATCATGTACTTATTGTAGGGTTAGGATTAGTTATGCATAGTTACATGTAAGGACATGTAACATGTCTAACAATGACACTAAAATAAAGTGTTACCCATTATTTAGTTTTTAAAAGCAACTTGCTTATTAATCAGCACCCAAGACGACAGTAATATCTATTTCAATATACTTAAAAACATACATTTATTATAAAAAGGCAATGATCATCAGTATTAATGCCAAGACTTGCTGCCCTGCCTCCCTACCAGAGCCGATGCCTTCCACTGATCGACGAACTCTTCCTCTTCTTGGTTTACCTGTCGCTGGGTCTGAAGGAGAAGGATCTGGGGGATCGGTTCAACATTCATCAGTCCACCGTCAGCAGGATCATAAAGACTTGGGTCAATTTTTTATATACTTTACTGGGTGCTGTCGGAATATGGATGTCTCCTGAGGACATTAGAGCCACAATGCCAAGTGTGTTTGGCAAATACTCTGACACCCAAGTTATCGTTGACTGTACTGAGCTGAAATGTCAGACACCTTCATCTTTACTCTTACAGAGTGAGATGTTTTCTCGGTATAAATCCCACACTACCTGAAAGGAATGATTGGCATGTCACCACATGGCGCTGTTACTTTTGTTTCCTCACTGTATTCTGGTGCTGTCAGTGACAAAGAATTGTTCAGGCAATCTGGCATTATCCCTCTTTTGGATAAAGACATGGCTGTAATGGTGGATAAGGGTTTTAGAATTGATGACCTAGTGCCCTGCAAAGTTTACAGACCAGCTTTTCTTCGCAGCTGTCTCACGAGGAAGTGCTGGTCACTCAGGACATTGCACGGTTAAGGATACATGTAGAGAGAGCAAATAGGCGCATCAAAGAGAATAAACTGTTTGACACTGTTATTCCTCTGGCCATTGCTGGCAGTATCAACCAGCTTTTTGCAGTAGCCTGCCTCCTTGCCAACTACCAGAACAAGCCACTGGTCAAGGCATGGGCCAAATAACCTGTAGCCATACAAGTTATGTTTCAGCTTGAGTGGTTTTCATTAACTGTCCTCTACTCTTGTATATATGTATCTTATATTTAGAGTGAATGAAAATAGAAAACTTACAGTGAGAAATTATTTTTTTTATTTGAAATGTTTATTTTGTCATTAAAATAAAACTGTAGAAATCATTTTCTCTTTGTTCATTGTATTATATACACATCCCAATCCTTGTTACTTTTGAAAAAAGATTTTAATTATTAAATGAAACATTTAATTTTAATACATAAGAGCTCACAAAAAGTATTAAAAAATATTAAATATAAAAATGGTCAAGATACCAACTTAAGGGGTTAGTTTACCCCAAAATGTCCACCCCCCCAAATAATTTACTCACCTTGAAGTTGTTCCAAACCTGCATGAGTTTATTTCTGCTGTTGGACCCAAAATAAAATATTTTGAATACTGGTAACCAGGCAGTTGACTGTAGCCTTTGACTTCTATGTAAGGAAAAAATACTATGGAAGTGAATGTCTACAGTCAACTATCTGGTTTCCAGCATTCTTCAAAATATTTTGTGCTCAATTGCATTATCCTGCATCAATCGTTACACCCTTTTGCAGAAGGACAGGTACTTTGGCATATACACATTAAAATAAAACTGGTCCACCCTCTCTCTGATAGCTACTGTTACCTTCGGGTCAGCATATATTCGCTGCACCATCATATCTTCCTGGGCACAGACAACAAAATCGCACCACTGCAGGCCAGTGATCAACAGTTGACCTTGGATCTGCCAGAAATAGGAGTGGCTTTCACGGAGTGCTGAAATGCCATGCTGCATTTGAATATACTTACAGTCCACGTAGCTCGTTAGGGCACTTGATCTCGACCACTCCAAAAGAGGGCTGTGTGGACGGATCGTAAATCAAGCCATCTGGTGAGGCACCAAGCCAAGGAGCATCAGGGTGAATGATGAGGCCGCAGGGTCTGTAGTTAACATTTTTCATTTTGGAGTACTCAACAGCAGCTTCAGACTCCATCTCTGCACCTCTTTTCATTTCAGCAGTCTGCTTTGTTCCTTTGAGGATTCTTTCCGCAAGAGACTCTGCAGAACTCACTCCCCTGACAAAACACACCTCTCTGAAACGTGAAGAGGTAATTCTATGCCTACGTAGCTGATGCCACTCCTGTTCTGCTGCTTGCTCTCTTGTGGCAGCCTCAATCTGATAGGCCATGTCCAGTGTGATCATCATGCTCTTAAGGTGGAAATGCTCCTCCTCAGTGCACACATGCACGCATTTTGTAGGGTCAAGCCTGTACTCACCAAGAGGCAGTGGTTGGTAACATGGATAATCTTGGTGCATGTTGACCGACTTTGTTGGCATTATAGGCTGCTGGTAAGAGAGTACACTCCCCTTCTGCGCCAAGCCAAATGCTGTCTCTACAAGGGTCTTCTCTTCACATATGCCCATAGTTGCCACTAAAGGTTTCTCTGTGATTGCAAAGTCTTTGAATGTGACTTCAATCTGCACCAAAGACATGTCAAGGGGGTCCCCAACCAAGCCCTTGTAGAGTGTACTTCTGTTAAAGACAGTAATAGTGAAAATATTAAAGGCAGCAATGGTCACGCACTGACAAGTAAATATGTTTAAGAAACAGTTTTATCATATTATTTCGAGAAGTGTACAGCAGGGGTATTCAAAAATACCTATGAGTGCAGCATCTCCTATCCACCTTTTTCTTTAACACGCAAGTAAGCCTATGGGTGAGACTTATACTATACTGCCTATGACCCTGTAGATTGTATAACCATCCATGAACCATGCAGTATTTACAGTGATGGGTTCGGGTCCAACTTTTGAATAATGGTCGGGTCCGCGTAGTACATTTAAGGCATTTCTCGGGTCTGCACGGGTTCGGGTCCCACTTTTAAATAAAATATGGGTCCGGGTCGGTTCCTTGCAGCACATTTATGGGTCTCTTTGTGTTCGGGTAAGAATTTTTGGACCCGTGAAGATCTCTACTCCACAAACTATAGGAACAAAACAGTTAAATCTAGGATTTCTATTGCCATTTTTGTGGTCTCTCATAATTAAAAAATCTGATAAGATTTTCTTTAATGTGGGGCAGCTTTAATTGACTCACCTGATTCCTCCTTCCAGTCGGGTGAGTCTTGGTCTGGTGATGACCTTCTTGTTTATTGGCCCAGGTTTCACTCCCTGATGGGAAAAAACACAATAATATATCAAATATAAGAGACAAGAAAATTAAAAAGAAATAACACAAAAAAACTAACTAGTCAGGCAAAGTAACATATTACCTATGACTAGGGCTGGGTATTGTTCAAAATTTTTCGATACCGATACCTTGACTTCGATACCGGTTCCTGAACAATACTTTTTTCGATACCAATTTTATGAAATAAATTTTAACAAGATTACATTATCTAAAAAAAAAACTTTGGTTTTATTTTTCAGCTTGTTGATGTTTATACACAAATCTGCTCCAAACACAGACTTCAACAAAGAGAGTAAGAAGGTGGGCTATAAACACAAAGCTAGCAAGGCTCAACTGAAAAGACAAGACAGCAGCTCAGATAGTGAGAGTGTCGGACTAATGGTGAGTCATGCACTATCAACAAGTTCTGATGAAGGAATGGATTGCTGGATTGTAGATTCAGGAGCAACATGTCACATGTGTAATGACAAGAAACAGTTTGTTGAATTTAAAAGCCTGGAACCCTCACAAGAAGTAACACTGGGAGATGGTTACTCTGTTGAAGCAACAGGACATGGAGTTGTGCGGCTGAAGATGACATTGACTGATAGTAAGACAAAAGAATGCAAGTTGAATGATGTTTTGTATGTACCACAATTGTCATACAACTTACTGAGTGTGTCCAAGGTAACTCAGTCTGGAAAAAAAGTAAAGTTCACAGAGAACAGATGCTGCTTCATGGATGTTAATCAAAAGCTGATTGCTACTGCAAAAAAAAAAGGCAGTCTCTACTATGTGAACTGTAGATAAAGTAAAAAAGTGCGTGTAACAGAAAATGTAAATGTGCATAAAGAGACCAAGGAACAAACCTGGCACCGACGTTATGGTCATCTAGGTGTACAAAATCTGAAGAAGCTGCATAATGAGTGTCTAGTTAATGGCTTTGACTTTGATGTGTCAAAAGACATAGACTTCTGTGAATCGTGTGCTGAAGGAAAGCATCATCGCAGTAAGTTCACAACTAGTAATCACAAAAGGGCTGTTGAACCACTTGGCTTAGTGCACAGTGATGTATGCGGGAAAATGAATGCAAAATCTTTGAGTGGAGCTGAATACTTCCTGACATTCATTGATGAAAATACTCACTATGTATGGGTTTATGTTCTGAAGCGGAAAGATTAAGTTTTTCAGAAGTTCCTGGAATGGAAAGCCATGACAGAAAAATCTACTGGAAGACAACTGAAAGTCTTACGCACAGATAATGGAGGAGAATATACTTCATCTGAATTTCAAGATTTCCTGAAGAAAGAAGGAGTTCGGCATGAGCTCACAGTACCAAAGACTCCTGAGCAAAATGGAGTAGCTGAACGAATGAATAAAACACTGATGGAGACAGTGAGATCAGTGTTAGCTGATGCAAAGCTACCTCAGAAGTTCTGGGCTGAAGCACTATCAACAGCTGTGTATCTGAGAAACAGAAGCCCAACGAAAGCAGTGAAGGAATGACTCCTTTTGAAGCCTGGACAGGTGAGAAACCAAATGTTGATCATCTACGTATATTTGGATGTACTGTATATGCACATGTACCCAAAGATGAACGGAAGAAACTTGATCCCAAAGCAAAGAAATGTATCCTTCTGGGCTATGGAACAGACACGAAAGGATATTGACTCTATGATACACAACTCACAAATGTGTTCTACAGCCGAGATGTTATATTCAATGAGTCTGATCATGCAGTTGAGAAGGAGCCTAATGCAAGCGAAGAAAACATTGTGAAACGGTATGTGGAATTTGACTGTCAAGATCCTTACAGTGAGGACTCAGCGGAACAAGATATCCAAAGATCAGCAAGAGTGAGAATACCACCTGACTATTATGGAGAGTGGGTAACACTTACTAATAATCAGACAACTGAACCCAAAACTGTAAAATATGTTTTCAGCAGTCCAGACAAGGCAGAGCGGAAAGAAGCTATGAAGAAAGAGATGGAATCGCTGTATTCAAACAATGTGTGGAATCTGGTAGAACTACCAAAAGATCGAAAAGCAGTGGGCAGTAAATGGGTGTTCAAAGTAAAAGTTGATGCTGATGGAACATTTGAGAGACACAAAGCACGTCTGGTTGCACAAGGTTTTTCACAAAAGTTTGGATCAGACTATGACGAAACATTCAGTCCAGTAGTCAGATTTGAATCTATCAGGACAATAATTGCTCTGGCTGTACAGCATGGACTAAAGCTTCATCAAATGGATGTCAAGACAGCTTTCCTGAATGGAGAACTAAAGGAGGAAGTGTACATGCAACAACCTGAAGGTTTTGTTGTCAAAGGAAAGGAGCATCTAGTGTGCAAACTAAATCGCAGCATCTGTGGACTGAAGCAATCACCAAGATGTTGGAACATCGTCCTAGATGAACAGCTGAAGAAAATGGGGTTTGTTCAAACAACAGCTGATCCCTGCATTTACACTGCAGCGACAGGTGAGATGTTCATTATTGCTGTATATGTTGATGACATTCTCCTGGCTGGACGCAATGATAAACAAATGATGGAGGTGAAGAAAATGCTTGCAAAACACTTTGAGATAAAAGACATGGGTGCGCTAACTCATTTTCTTGGAGTGAAGATTGTCCAAAAATCAGAAACTGGAGAAATCTGGATGGGTCAGACAACATATGCCAAAAATGTGTTGGAGAAATTCGGAATGGAAAATTCAAAACCAGTAAGCACACCAGTAGACATGAACTCGAAGCTCATCAAACACTCTGATGACAAAGAAGGAGTGGATTTGACACAATTTCAGTCTGCTGTTGGTAGTCTGCTTTATTTGTCGACAAGAACAAGACCAGACATTGCTTATGCTGTGAACAATGTTGCGAGATTCTGTGCTAAACCAACAAAGCATCACTGGACTGCTGTCAAACGAATCATGAGATACCTGAAAGGCACTCTGAATCTAGGTCTGCTGTATAGCAAAGAAAAGCCAAAGGAATGCATTGGATTTTCTGATGCAGATTGGGCTGGAGACCAAGATGATCGCAAATCTGTATCAGGATACATGTTTCAAATCAGTGGAGCAGCGGTGAGTTGGAGAAGCAAGAAACAGATGTGTAGCTCTCTCTACTGCTGAAGCTGAGTACATGGTATTGGCGAGTGCAGCTCAAGAAGCAGTTTGGATGCGATTGACTGATTTAAAGGTCAATCAAACAGGACCGACGTTGATGTTTGAGGATAAACAGTCTGCTATCTGCATGGCAAAGAACCCACAATTTCATTGACATGCCAAACACATTGAAATCAAATACCACTTCATTCAAGAGAAAATTGCAAGTGGAGTCATGGACTTGAAATACTGCAAGACTGAAGACATGATTGCTGACATATTCACCAAAGGACTGAGTGAAGAAAAGTTCACGAAGCTGAGACAGTTGGCTGGAGTGAAACCAGTTAATTAATTATTTTGTGTGCGAGTGAGAAGGAGTGTTGGGGAAAATAAAAAATACACTCTTACCAGAATAATTATGTTTTTAGATTGTGTAAATTTAGTTGAAGCTGTCTCATGTGAATTCTTCCTTTAAGTTCTTTAAGACTACCACTAGGTGGAGCCCTAAGCATATGTTTTGTATTCTGGTTCTTTTACTGAAGAAGACTTGTACATGTTGTTTGGTTTGGTTTTGTTGAACACGCAGTAAAGTATGACACACTTTTTTGGTCTGTGCGTTTAACAAGGAAGTCACTGCTCCGAGTCTTTATTAAAACCAACACTTGTTACATTAAAAGACGCTCCTTACCTTAAAAAAGACCAAGCTGTTTGTTTCATCTTTTTTTTTTTTTTTTTTAATCTTGTATTGTTTTTAAAGAGTTTTCAGATATACAGGCACTTCAAGTTCATGGTATATGTACTGAATTCCTTCTCAGCTCTTCCCAGGTATTGCTGTTGATTTAACTGGGTTATACAGTTTAAGAATAAAGCAGAAAGTTTAGATCAAAGCCCCTTTGTGTCCACAATACATTGTGTGCAAAAGCTTGAACTTTCATGTTGATATTCTTGTCATTTCACAATTATGCCATCATTAATAACACACCGTTTATCAGTATTCCAAAGGACCAAGTCACCACTTTAGTTGAGGGGCCACAAACATGATGAAGTCATGAGAAGCTAATGCTTAGTTAATGATGACTACTGTATTTGGATGTTAACAGAATTCACATACTATGTGCTGTGATTGGCCAATGTTGGGGTCTGTCCATTTACCTGCATGCTACTATGAAGAAGATATGAACATGCTTGATAACTCATATCATATTTAATGAAAAACATTAGTTCTCACATTAATTGATATACTGTTCTAGCCTGTATGCATGCATGAGGTAATGTGGATGTTTGTATATTCCTTTAATAATTCAAGTAGTCTTAAATGCACAAAATAATGTTTTTTTTAATCATGTGCCATAAGCATAGCTTTATTAACAATGGATAGTAAAGACCTTGTTTTTTGTGAACAGAAAACATCATGATCATGCGTAATAAATTATAAATCATGATGTACTCACCTTACTTAATGTCTTAATTAAGGTGTTGTTCATCCATGAAGTCATGAATGAAAGACTTTGAACTCAGTTTTATTATTGTTGTGAGCTGTACTCTATTCACACATTGAATTCTTTTATTTGTTACAGTTTTTTACTTTTGCAAAGTGAAAAGGTAATACAAATTGTATTCGACTGTTCTGATTTACAACAGTGAATAAATGTCATTAAAATATAATAAGGTATTACTGTTTATTGCTCATTTTAAAGCTTACTGAACTTTAAATGGTTTGAATATCTACAGTTCTACATATATATATATATATATATATTGTCACGGGAGGAGCACACGACAAACACAGTGGGGGTGGCGTCAGGCCTCGGAGAGGCTTTTATTAACAAAATAATACAAACAACAAAGTGTCCAGGGAAAAGGGGAATCTAGTGTCCAAAATAAAACAGGGGATCTGGTGTCCTCGTCGTGCTGCGGGGTTCGTACAGGGAAGGGCAGTGTAAATGTCATTAAAATATAATAAGGTATTACTGTTTATTGCTCATTTTAAAGCTTACTGAACTTTAAATGGTTTGAATATCTACAGTTCTACATATATATATATATATATATATTGTCACGGGAGGAGCACACGACAGACACAGTGGGCGTGGCGTCAGGCCTCGGAGAGGCTTTTATTGACAAAGTAATATAACAACAAAGTGTCCAGGGAAAAGGGAAAACTAGTGTCCAAAATAAAACAGGGGATCTGGTGTCCTCGTCGTGCTGCGGGCTTCGTGCAGGGAAGGGCAGTGATCAGGAAGGAAGGGTCCAGGTAAGGGGCGGAGTCCGGCGGCCGCATGCGTTCCCCTCTCCAGTCCGGGACGCGAGGGGCGGCAGCTTCTTCCAGCGGCTGCATCCTTCTCGCCTTGGCCCCGGCGGGTAAAGGGTCTAGACGGCCCGGCATCCTGGCCCGACGGCCGTGTAACAGGTGCGGCTCTCGTCCGGACCACGGGTCCGGTAGCTCGCATCTTCGGCGGCCCGGAGATCCCTCAATGCACCCTTCCTGGACCCACGAGGACACCAGCGTGCATGCACGGGGAAGAGACCGGTCTCCTGAGGAGAGGCGCGCTCGGCATTTAAACAGCGGCGATGATGAGGCACCATTCGGTTCAGGTGTGCCCCATCACACGCCGCCAGCCCTGGCCATTTCAGCGCCCCTCCTCTCTCACGCACCCACTCCTGTCGGGAGCCTGGCGAAGGGCGGCGATTAAGGGACGGGGGTATTTCAGCGCCCCTCCTCTCTCACGCCTCCACTCCCGTCGGGAGCCTGGCGAAGGGCGGCATTTAAAGGACGGGGTGATGATG